TGATGAGGGCAACAAATGTATAGATGTGCTCTACACAATTGATCTATGTATTGTGATGAATTGTATGAGCCCCAATAAATTGATTAAAAAAAAGAGATGGGAGAGGCTCAAAGCTTCATCCTCACAGCCCAAGTCCCACATAGGAGATCTGACAGCTGTCACCTGCTCCCCGGGAAGCAAGCCTTAATTGCTTGTCCCAAGAGAGCTGATATTGGTGAAAAACAAACCCAATACCTCACAATGAACGAGTGATCGCAGAATTGCAATAGATATACATACTCGGAAACCGACAGAACCTCCACATTGGATCCTGTGTGTGAGAGGCATTATCATGATAGGGAACACCAAGCGGAAGCCTTTAGGACTTCCCCCATCTAGGAAAATAGTAAGCCAGAGCATGAGCACCTTCCTAGAGGGACGGCGAAGATGAATGCCACCATGAAGGATGCAAAGAGGTGTTTCTCACCACATCCCCATCCAACTCACTTATTTGGCCTGGGGGGGTGGGCATGGGGGCGGATTTTGGAGAATGACAGTATGCACTTAACTAGCTGGTGACTCATGGGCTGCTGTCAATCTGGCCTGTGCCTTTTTATTAATTCTAGTTTCAAAGGATCACCAGAAACTGTTTACCTTCAGAAGGCAAGGCTAACGGTTCGCCTGTATTTCCCTACCTAAAGGATGCAGCAACGCTCTAGCACTATGCTATCATTTGAGTCTACAGGGACCTTGACCGTATCTTTCCCTTCAGCAAGACTTCTCACCGGTCCATCACATTGATGCCATTAGGCTGACTGGGCCTTGGAAGGAAGAGGTATCGATGATTCTAAGACGTTTGTATGCTATAGGCTGGGACTTGCAGCAACAATTCAAGCACCTTCCACCTCAGTGATATTTCTAGGGGTCTAGTGGTATAGGGCATGTCAAGATATTCCTCATAACATGAAGGACAACTTAGTGCATCTGGCCCCTCCTACAACTGGGGGGAAAGGCACAATGTCTGGGGACTTCCAGATTTGGAGGCCACGTATGCCTTGCTGGGGGATGCCACTTCAGTCCACCTGTCAAGCCACATGAAAAGCTGCTTGTTTTAAGTGAGGCGCAGAAGAAGAGAAAGCTCCGCCCCCGGTCCAGGCTGTCATGTAAGCTGCTCTGCCACCCTCTGCAGGTAGCAACTGTCCTCTTGAGAAACAGCTTTTTGGCTTGCTCCTGGGCCTTCCAAGAGACTGAACATCTCACCATGGGCTGCCGAGTCAGCATGTGGCCTGAGATGCCCATCATGAACTGGCTGGTGTCTGACCCACAGTGACCTAAAGCCAGTGCTCACAGCAGCACTCTGTGTTAAATGGAAGTGGTGTATACAAGACGGGGCTCAACGAGGTCCTGAAGAGACAGGGAACTTGCCTGAGGAAGTGGCCCAAAGTGCCCATCGCCTTCACTGCGATCACCTTCCCTTCCCTCTCCCCGCCGACTTCTAGCTCTGTCCTCGAGGGGAGTTCCTGATGATCAATCAACTGGGGAAGAGAAAACTCTTCCCTGGCTTGCAGATGGTCCCACCTG